ATGATTACGAGTTAAGTAAGTACCACTTCCTAATTCTCCATTTATATGAGCTGCCTATAGTTCAGGCTTCATTCAAGACTTTTGTGCCATAGTGTAGCTTAACAATAATAAAAATAAAACAAGTTAATTAGGTCATACTGATTTTACTGGTTAAAATAAAAAAGGCTACATCCCTCATTGGTGCTGTGTTTGAGATACTGTTAGGTAACACAACCATACTTTGGGAAGTATGTCTACTATACCATGTTTCCCCAAAAGTAAACCCTACTCCCAAAATAAGCCCTAGTTTTGGGGCGAGGTGCACGCCTAAAAATCAAGCTAGGGTGAGAGTGGAGATTACCGTTGCAGTCAGGCTTCCCATGGATTGATACTTGCCTCGCCAGCCCACTTCTTCTGCAGCCAAAGGAGCAGCTTCATTCTGCAGCTGAGAATGGAGCTCGGGCCTGAATTTCGCCATCAGAAGCCTTTCCAGAAGGTCTCTGCAGCCGAGAATTGAGCTATGGAACCCATAACTTGGTTCTTGGCTGCAGAAGCCTTCCAGAAAAGCCCCTGAGGGTGAAATGCAGGCCAGAACTCCATTCTCAGCTGAAGAATGAAGCTGCTCCTTCGGCTGCAGAAGAAGTGGGCCGGTTGGGCGGGGCTGTCGGTGCCACTGCCACAAGGTGAATGGAAAAGACACCCCCCGAAAAAATAAGACCTAGTGCCTCTTTTGGAGGGGGGGGGAAAGACCGGGTCTGATTTTCAGGAAAACACAGTAGATATATGTGCAAAAATAAGAGCTTACGCATTCTCTTCATCAAAATTTGCTCGTTTAGATCCAATCTTGTAAAAGGATGGCAGCTGAGGTGGTGCTGTCTTCCCAAACCCAGCAGAACCAGTGGCTCCAAAAGCACTATGGGATTGCTGTGGCAGCTTGGGCTCCTCCTTCTTTCCAGATGATATTGAAAAGCCACCAAAACCAAAGCCTCTCTTAGTGCCAGGTCCACCTTTGTTCCAATTCATGATGATGGTAATGTATCTAATGAAAAATAAAATCAAATTTAAAACCACTTACCCATTTAAAAGATAAAAGAAATGTTTACATAATATGAATTACATAGAAAAGACTTATAGGCAAATAAGTTATTTACTTTTAACAATTACCGCCATACTTTAGAAAATTCCTTCAAAATAAATATCATTATATTTATTACAGAACATCACTTTTCACAATTCAAAATAGGCAAATTAAAGCTTAATTTAATGGAAGTATTTTGTTTACTAAAACAAGGGATCTACTTTTATTAAGTAGATTAACATAATGGCTTATTACCAGTTATTGTAACTAAAATCAAACACTGGAGCAACAATCCTTTTGAGAGGGATGGGGAAAAAATGTTCTACTAAAGAGGAAGTGAGATTTTTTTTTTTTGGTACTTTCCTTTTCAACTGATTCTGTATACAATAAAGGAAAATAATTTTGCCACCCTATTATTCATTCAGGTGAATGAAGAGATTGGATTCATTGCAGCCTAGACCTCCCCTGAGCTACTTGTTTCTTTCCATACACTGACAAACTGCAACAGAGTAGTGGCTATCCTAAACATTTTTCCACCATAATTGTTTTTTAATATGCAGTGATCCCTTATCTGCTCCTCATCTTCTAAGTATCTAATCATTCAAAGAAAGAGAAAAAAGTATTTTCCTCCTACTCTCATTCCAACTCAAGGTTGCTCACTCAATCTTAAATAATTGATATTTATCATATAATAAATTATGCCCTAAAATCTAGTCTGCTAATATAAAAAAAATGGCAACTATGTCATTTTATTTATTAATAAATAAATAAATCATAGACTAAGAAACTCACTATACTGCTTAGCATAAATCTACGAATCTCCAATCATTTGTTTTCAGGAATAAGTGTTTTTCTTTAAGTTAGCCAAAATGTAGATAAGATCATTTTTTTTAATAGTCGAACATTCATTAGCTTCTCAAATTTACTCCCTTCCAAACTGATTTTATACTTTCTCTTACCTCAAGACGGGCCACAGGCCGGTCAGAAGACGCAAAAAAGAGGTTACCTGATGGAAGAAAATGTGAAAACGATGAACTCCAAATGTTTACGTGCTCCGACTAGGCCTCAGCCCCGCCCCCTCATTTTCCTCTTTAACCAACGGCCAAACCCAGGACGATCTAGGCTCTCCTCAGGCCCTTTCCTTCGCCTCTTTTCTCTGCTTCTGTTCTGTTTACCTATTGTTTGTTACTCAGGTATTTGGGGATCCTTCTTCCCTCCTTTCTTTTGCTCGATTGCTGTAATGTGCAAACGAGGAGGTAGACGTTGCCTGCTGAAATGACCGTGACGTACAGACGTCACGCATATAATACACCGACACTCTGCTCTTGAAGGCCCTTGCACATAAACCTCGTCCTCAAACCGTGGGCCTTTACTCTACCCTGCGCTCCTTGATGACGCCTGATACCAGTCATAAACTCCGAAAGAGCGGAACGTAGAGCTTGAACATACAGAGTAGCATAACGCATGCCTTTATTTCTCCAAATCTGTAAAAATACAATTTTGCTTTTTTTTCACTCTATATACTGTATTTCTTTTTGAATTGAGATCATTTCTTGAAAAAATATGAAATGGCAAAAATGCAACCCAAGATGAATTCAATTGAATTCTGACTTGGTGGTGGGTCTATAAAAGTGGAGAAAACTTAAATACTAGGTACTAAATAAATTAAATACTAAATACTAAAACAAATTGTTTGCCCTTTGTGAATGATACATTTCTTTTTTGAGTGAACTCACTGCTTTCCTAACGCACCCCATTAGAAAGAAAATAATTGCAGCTGGAGTAACAGAAATCCCATCTTTGAAAGTAAGTTCTGAATTTTGAAGACTCTAACTTTGGGTATTTCACAGTAAAGTTCTGAAATCCCTTATGATCATGACAGCAACAGAAACCTTTACATGGTATATCTTTGCAGGCTGGCAGTACCCATCCTATCTTTGATGAATTACAGTATACCTGGCTACTTTGTAAATGGGCAACCACTAGAAAATCTCTCAAGTCAAAAAACTTCCTCCAAATGGCAAACAACTTCTACCTTGTTCTCAGGAGAATCTCATGGTCTAAATGAGTCCCATGTCTTAGTAAAGTCACTCAGTTTGAAGATATCTTACATCACACCAGCATGCACTTATACTATGGTATTAAACAATTTTAGCTGAAGCTTCAGTTCTTAAATATATGAAGAACCACACATACTACTGATAAACCTTACAATTGTTTTGAATTCTGGAATGCTTCAGGTCATAAAATGTAAAATCAGTGATAGCACAATCCAAGATTGCATGTTTAATTGCATGCAGTGTACACTATAAAACAGATAATTCATTTTCAGTATGTTTTAGCCACAGATACCTATTTAGGGAAAGTGCTAATAGAATGAGCACAGATACCATATGTTGAACCTCAAACTATAATGCAGTTTAATTGAGGTCAGTTTCCTGGAGTTAGTGTTATTTATTCTCAGGTGTAAGCATCTACTAGATTGTAGCCTAACAAACGTACTGTTGTCCTTCAGTTGACATGATCACTTATTAGTGGACCAGAGGAATGCTGTGGATATAATTTACTTGGACTTTAGTAAGGCATTTGACAAAGTAGATCACAACCTACCACTTGATAAGATAGAAAAAGGTGGTTTAGACAGCATCACCACCAGATGGATCCGTAGCTGGCTGACCGGCCGTACTCAGCGTGTGGTCCTCAATGGAACCACATCTACATGGAGGGAAGTGTGTAGTGGGGTGCCCCAGGGCTCTGTTCTGGGCCCAGTGCTCTTCAACATCTTCATCAATGATCTGGACGAGGGGATAGATGGGGAACTCATCAAATTTGCAGACGACACCAAGCTGGCAGGAATAGCCAACACTCCAGAAGACAGGCTTAGGATACAGNGCATCCAGTTTTGGTCACCACGATGTAAAAAAGATGTTGAGACTCTAGAAAGAGTACAGAGAAGAGCAACAAAGATGATTAGGGGACTGGAGGCTAAAACATATAAGGAATGGTTGCTGGAATTGGGTATGTCTAGTTTAACGAAGAGAAGGACGAGGGGGGACATGATAGCAGTGTTCCAATATCTCAGGGGCTGCCAAAGAAGAGGGAGTCAAGCTATTTTCCAAAGCACCCGAAGGCAGGACAAGAAGCAACGGGTGGAAACTAATCAAAGAGAGAAGCAACCTAGATAACTAAGGAGAAATTTCCTGATAGTTAGAACAATTAACCAGTGGAACAACCTGCCTCCAGAAGCGGTGAATGTGCCAACACTGGAAGTTTTAAAGAAGAAACTGGACAGCCATTTGTCCGAAATGGTATAGGGTTTCCTGCCTGAGCAGGAGGTTGGACTAGATGACCTCCGAGGTCCCTTCCAACTTTATTATTATTATTATTATTATTATTATTATTATTATTATTATTATTATTATTATTATTATTATTATTATTATCCTGAAAGATTATGCTAGAATGATTATATATGGTGTCACAAACAGTTCAACTTATTTTACCAAAAATATGTCTGCGTTAGAAAAGCTCAACAAATGTCAGTTAATGACCTAAAATGTTATGGTACGGGAGAATTAATCTCCGTTTCTAAATACAAATGGGACGGGGAGAGATAGATTTAGCCCAACTTGACTTCTAGAATGCAATATAAAAAGCGCTAAGTGCGCCGCGCGCAGCATTGCTTTAATCCTAAATCACTGCCTTACGCCCGTAGAAAATATAATGCATATTTTTCCAGAACAAGGAAAATCTCAGTTCTTCTTTTCTCTCTCTTCTAATCGCCTAAAATCATCAAAACGCAACGAAGGTTGCCAAGACCTGGAAGCAGCCAGGTATCCTTTTAAGGAATGTCCGCTCGCTCTCTTCCAACATCTCTCCTTTTCAGCAACTTCCTTTTCTCATCTTTCAACTGCAAGGCGCATGCGCTGACTTACGCAAGTGTCGTATTTTACGGGGAAGAACGGCAGGGCGAAAAAGCCACCCTGTTGGGATCGTTCAACCTAGCCGAGGAGCGAGTTGGTCTTGGGGACGTTGAGAGACTAACCCTGGTCTGAGGTATCGAGCGGAAGGGCTGGAGGACTAAGAAATCCTGGGGGAGGGAGTTCTCTCTTGTAGGGCTAAATAGTAAGCTAAATAGTAATGTTGTTCCTCAATCAGGAAAGGCGTGGACACGGCCCGTCCTGGGAGAGGAAAAACAGCCCCAAATTGGCTGTACACGAGGGTTGCTTCTCACAGGTGTGTGCCTGGACCTGGAATTGGTCCCGAAGCTAGCTTTCCCCAGCTCGTTCCCTCCAGATGACCTGAACTGCACTCTTAGCAATCTCAGCTACCATGAATGGCTGAAGGTGATTTAGTCTGGTTGGAACAAGCTCCGTTGGAGATCTGGCTAATCATTTCCACCGCTTTTTAGGTTCCTTTTGGGTATCTAGGCCAGCCCTGTGAACGCCTTTCACACATATCTTGCTAAACTGAAATAATAAAAATGGAAACTGTTAGAAAACTGGTTAGTATAGATGGGCAGGAAATTGTGTGTATAAAGCTAAAAAGAAGTCTGTCAAATTTCTGCTCCTGTAGTGCAATAGTAATCCCAATCTGCTCTACAAATGTGGGTATTCTTTTTAGCCCTCAGTGATAATAAAGTTAGAAACACTGAGATGTCGTATCTTTCATGCATTCAAAAATTTTATGCTGCTTTCTTGGAATTTAATATTGGTAATTTTAGGGTGTGTCAAACTACACCTTCCATAAATCCATTAACTATATTGAGGTTAGGCAGGTTAGGGAGCTTAATGCCTTCCAGGAGTTATAGACATTTTTTAATTAACATGGTTAGTGATAAAGAATTGTGGAAGTTGTATTTCAGCAGCTAGAAAGTAATCTATACTATTATTAGAATTTTGATCACAGAAAGAATTATGGAAATTGCAACCAACATGCTGTGAAGGTTGAATTATTTAAATAACACATTATCTATTCAAGTCAAGCATATAGTAGTGTCAGGACTACTGGGAAACTACAACATGTTGCTTTTTAAATAGAATCTATTAATCATACTTGAAAAAGTGGCCATAGGGTAAGTATAATGCTCTGCAATAGCTTACCTGCATGTGTAAGTTATTGGCCAGTAGAATAATTTGATTCTTAGCTCAAATCCCAGTTAAAAATACAAGTTGGTTACAAAGGTCAATGAGTTGGACTGATTTTTTTTCTATTCCCTCTCCATTTTCTTATTATTTCTTATATCATTACATTATATTGGTCAATGATTCAAGAAATAGGTTTTATTATTACAAGAAAATTTTAAAACAAGGATTTGTGAATTACTTTTTCAGTGATAAAGCTAAGACATATGCAAAATTTTAATTTAATTTAATTCATCTAATTTTTATTTTTTTCAATTTCACGTTTTTCCATATTATTTTGACAAATGGCCACATAATACAATCACTGTTTGGATTGGCTGGGTGAGGAGGAAAAGGTTGATACCCAGTTGTATACAGACAGTCCTCAGCTACAACTGGTTATTTAAAAACCATTCAAAGGTACAAAACATCCATTAGGGAAAATGGATTTGCTTAAAGATCATGGTATTCACTTAATAACTCTTGTAAAAAACAGTGGTAAATTCAAATCCAATCACATGGTACCTTGACCTATGACTGTAATTCAGGCCCAATTACAGTTGTAAGTCAAGGACTATCTGTATCTCAATCCTAGCATACACACACACACACAAAATCTGTTAGAGTCTGGAGGTGGGAACCTGGTTAGAAAGGACCAGTCTCAGGTTAAGTCTAGCAAGACCAAGTGACTTTGGGAATCATCTAGATCTGGAGATCTTTCCTTTTTAAGTTCTGAATGGAGTTGAACAGACATAGCTAAGAGGACCTTTGCATAAATCCATGTTGTGTGCCAAATGGTCCCATTATTTGATGAAGAGATCCTGTTTATAATGCTTTAGTGACCTTGCATTTAGGGTATTGCAATGCACATTATATGGGGCTTTACTTGAAGACTACTCAGAGCTCCCATCTAGTCCCAAATTCAGCAGTGTGGGTATGCTTGTTGCGTGAACTGCACTGGTTGCCAGTGAGATTCCAATGCTATTAAAGATTTTTTGTAATCACTTCACAAGTCCTTAATAGCACAGTCTGGATATTTGCACAATCATTTGCATCCAATTATCTCTGCTATTCCAACAAAACTCAAAGGGTTGGCATGTTCCAGGCATCATCAATTAAACAGTTTCATCTCATGGGATTAGGGGACATGTGTTCTCAGTTGCCAGGGATTCTCTATTACCATGCCTCCTTTATTGTACAATATTCCCCTTGAAATTTGGATGGTCCAAGCCCTGATGGCCTTGAAGAAAGATCCTTTGAAGACACTGGCCAGGATGTTATGCAAGTCAATAATGTTTTGAATGTGAATTGCATTCAGTGTGCTATATTTAATTATTTCCTTTATATTTTTTAATTTAAAAAATATCTGTTAATTGTCCAGAGTTGCATGACAAGCAAGTAGCCAATTATGTTTTTGAAGTTCAAGCAAAATAGGTTTGCATTATTTACATTCAATATGAGATAGGTAGTTTGGGTTTGGCATGGATATACTTGTTAATCTGTGTTTATTTACATAAGCCATGATTTTTTAAAAATGCTGGTAGACATGTATAGTAAGTATCTCTACATCAGATTTGAAGCATCTTCCTTGCCTCAAGGCACATCAGACTAATATCCAACAGTCAGATTCAGGGTAGGAATCCTTTTGTTGTTAAAGCATGAGATTTAAAAAGTGTGGAGTCACTGCTAATCTATTACCCACAGCTACATTATATTAGTAAATTCTGAACTACTTTCTGCCCAACCCCTATTCACATGTTACCATATTATTAAAACTTGTGTGCTGATGTCTGATAAACTCAATCCCAAACTTGAGAGACTAGGCCTGAAATGTCAATTAAAAGAAATTTTAAAAAACTGTTTCATTAAATGCATATGGTTGTCTGACTCTCTTCCATTTTAAATTGTTTAAATTGTTCATATCCTGAAGGCTTACATGTAATAGAAGTCTAATTCTCCTTCATTGCTCAAAAGATAGCTGTGGTAATGTTTTATTACAGTGGTGGCGAACCTATGGCACGCATGCCAGAGGCAGCACTCAGAGCCCTCTCTGTGGGCACACGCGCCATGCCCCGGAGATGGCAACCGTCCCTCTTCAACCAGCGGCCTGCTAACTCACTGAGGTCCCACATGGCCAGATGCATCCCAGCACCCATGCACTCGCTGGCCTCTGTGTGCAGGGGCCGATGGTGTCAGGCAGCAGCCACCCCAGCCCGTCTCACCTTGCCCTGTAACAATGGCATCCCCTCCTTGCCTCGCCTCACCCCATAGGACGAGCCTCCTGCCCACCGCCCAACCCCCTGGATCTCCACCAAATCTACCTGGCCCCCACAGGCATACCTCCCCATGAGCAACATCAAGGTGATCACGCCCACCTTGGCCACACCCACTCAATCTGCCATGACCACCACAGCCATGCCCACCCAGTGGGCCATGCTCACCTGGCACCTGGCGATAAATAAGTGGGTTTTGGGTTGCAGTTTGGACACTCGGTCTCTAAAAGGTTCGCCAACACTGTTTTATTACTACAACCAGCTGTTTAATGGAGGAGTTTATGTCTTTTCAAGGCAGATTAGAGGTGAATAAATAATCAAGCATCATTTAAACCCCAGATCAGTCACACATTTCTTTCAGTGATCCATAGGACTCATTAATCCTGCTTATTTTTTTCATGGCAATTGTATAGAAAATAGGGAATTTGAGATATGAACTATTTTATTTTATTTTATTTGTAGCATATCTGCTGTTTCTGTATTAATAATACTAATACGAGTATTATGCAGTTTAATCTAGTAGTTAAGCTTCAGGTTAGAAACTCCTGACTATAAATTCTAGTCTCACTTTAGGCATAAAATTCAGCTGGGTGACTTTGAGCCTGTCACTCTCCTTCAGTCCAATTTATCTCATAGGGTTGTTATTGTGGGAAAGGATATGTCCACTGTCTTGAGTTATGTACAAAAATAATAAAGGCAGGATTGTAAAAAAATTTAAATCAAAAAAATCTAAATCTAAACAAATTTCTCAAAATATCACCATTCAGTATGGGAAAGATGCCCAGAACTATAATTCAACATTTGGAAAGTCACATCTTGCCCTATTTATTACAGAAAGATTGTGGTCCTTTCATATAATGCTGAAGTAAATTCAGGATGGCTACAATAAAGTATTTATTCTGTGAAATGCACCATTATTGAGGTTTATTTCCACAACTTGTTACAATTCATGTTAATCTTATTTAATCTAAATTTCTTTAGAAAAAAAAAGATTATATGTGTGGAAAAGATCTCTATGGAATGATGGCTTATTTTTTGGGAAGAAGTAATCCGCAACATTTTGTTCTGGTTGCTAATAATAAATTACAAATTCATTGAAAATTCACTTTGCTATCAATTCAGCTCACATCCCATGGTTTTTATGGAGAAAACAAATGGAAGAAGGAGTACTAGGTGCACCTGGAGGAAATGTTTGATATTAATTTATTATTATTGCATTGGTTATTACACTTTTGAAAGTGCTGTGCAAGATGAGACATAATTACTGATTGTAATACAGTACTCTTTTTCTAGTTTTCTAGTTCCATTTTTACACTGCTGTATTAAAAAAAATATTTTGAACTTAAAAATTTTGGGGCCTTTGCTATTTTTTATTTATTGAGCATTTTCTTCCCCAGCAATAATGAGAAGTTGGTGGTTTTTCGTGGTTACATTCTTTATCCTATGGGGTCTTTCTTTGGCCAAATTTGAGGAGTTTGATGACGATGACTTAGTAGAATATGATGATAATGATTTTGCTGAGTTTGAAGATGTGATTGAAGCCACAGAATCTCCCCAGCGGATTGTTACAGCAGAAGAGGAGGAGGAGGAGGAGGAAGCCACAGTAGAACTTGAAGGACAAGATGAAGGCCTTGATTTTGAGGATGCTGATGGACAGGTGATGTGAGATGAAGGACTTATCTTTTTTGATGCAATGGGATAATGTATAAGACTGATTAATAGGAAATCCAATTATACTGTGTATTTTCTTTAGTTTGGGTATATCTGTGGACAAGTTTCTAATATAATTTATATTTTTAAAAAACGTAAGCCATTCTATAAAGCTTGACATGCTTAAGACTAAGTAAGATAGACAATGAAAACAAGATAGTATCAATGTTAATTGGCCAGTTTCATTGGTAAAATAAGTTTTTGATTTCAAAAAAATCAGCAAGGAAACTTGTGTTGGAGAGTGTCACAGAATGCTGGAGCTATAACAGGAGTGAATCTATAGTTTGTGTAGTCTCATCTGATATATACATAATTATTGTAATCAAAGAAATAAGTTCCACATGATACATACATAATTATTGTAATCTAAGGAATTCTGGAACATCAGATAGCTCCAAATATCTATAAATCAGGAGTGGAAGAAATGCTTATAGACAGAAGCTGCTTTTTAAAAAAATATATATTTTTGGTGCTCCAAGGGCTGCAGGAAGAACAGCAGGGATGTAAGCAAAGGAATAGGATCTTAATGGACGTTGTAATTTTTTTTAAGTTCAATGTAGATATTTTAGGTTTACCAGAAATTTAAGATAACTGTTGTTCAGTTTATTTAATGTAAGAAAAGGACTGTGAAAAATCAGAAATCTCTGTTGAATTCTAATGGTACAATCTTGAAGGTTGGCGACCATATGTAAGTTGTGGGTTGATATATCTCTTGTATATAAATATAGTATAACACCTAAAATTAAAATCTGCTTGGATCTTGCATGCAATTTGGAAAGTATTCCATATTGCTGTTATAGTCCTTGCCATAGATGTTTCCATGATTACAGAGCAATCCTATACATGATCAATTTATAAACTGCAGATTTGTATTTCCTTTTTGCATTTAAGTTGAATTTACTAGGCCAGAGCTTCATGTATATCATATTCAAACAGCTGAGAGCAGGTGGTGAACTATGTACAACTTTCCAACATGTAATTTATGATTTTCCAAGTCTGTGATTATACTACTGAAATTCAGAAGCAAAATAGCTAATTTTGGCTATGCAGCTTTTTCACTGTTGGGACCTTTTGTTTGTTTGGTTTCAAAAATGAGGGAGGTAATGAATACAAGAAGTTTCAGGGAGCTGATCTGATCCTATTTTCATTCTTAATATCCTCCAGCCCCATACCTGAAATAACAAAGTTTCATCATTTTGTTGCCAAATTTTGGAGGCATGATTTGATGGTAGGTAGTAATTGGAAGCACATAAGGATGGAAATGAGAGTGGTTTACCTTCCATTCCTACCATTACAACGTAAGCAAAGAGTCAAGAAACATTGGGCCAGGCCTCTTCTGATATAATCCCACAGAACTGAGTTTCAGCATTTAATATCTGAATAACTGCCCAGGCTTAATTAGGAAATTGTAATTAGCATTCTAGTTTTCTTGCATGGGCATTCATATTGATGAGATTCATATTCTGCTGCATTTGTAGTCTACTTTTGTGCATAGCACTCTTTGATTAGTTTCACCCATGTGATTGAATCCCAAAAGTGCTTTTTCCAAAAGGTAACTGGACTTTCTTGGATTTTTTTCTGAAAACATTTTGTTTATCCAAGAAGCTTCTTCAGTTCTAACTGATTGGAGGGGAATAGAAGATTTATATTCTTTGCAGTCATCTGGTCAGTAGTACTCTAAGGGTCAATCGTTAGTGGTAGCTCTTTGAGAGTCATTGAAGCCTCTTGGGAATTTATCTGTATCCTAAGAGTCATGTGAATCAGAGTGTAAATGGGTACGGAAGCTTCTTGGGACTGCTGAAAGGACTGCATTGTAAAAAGGAGATAGGTGGTGTCGTATCTCTCCCCCTCTGTCGAGGCGGGAGCTGTTCAGTTTTAACATACATAACCTTTTTGATCCCTCTTTCAAATAAGTGGTCCCCTCTATCCACAATGTGAACACATCAATATTGTGGACAGAAACATTAAGTTCATACAGGAAGATATTAAAGAAAATAGTCTGGCCTTCTTAGATTGTGCAGTATACATCAAGGAAGACAAAAGCCTCAATACTGCAGTATACACAAAATCTACACACAGTGATCAATAGTTACATTTTCATTCTTACCATCTTTACCATCCACTGGAGTAATCAGGAGCTTATACCACTGGATTGAAGGTTTGCCTACCATCAAAGAGAGAAAAGAGAAGGAACAAAAACACATCAAGGAAGCCCTCAGAACTTGTGGTTCTCTTATTTGGGCCTTCATCAAATCCATAAAAAGATCCAGCAGGAGCTCCTTCATAACAAAAAAGAGAACAACAAATGGAACAATGTTGTCATTCCATATGTTGCAGGAATATCTGAAAAACTCAGGAGGATTTTCAACCAATACAAGATATGTGCACACTTTAAACCCAGGAATATATTAAGGGAGAAGCTTGTCCAATCCAAGGGCAAAACACCCAGACACAAACTGAGCAATGCACTATATGCAGTGCATTGCAGCAAGATATGTGCAGACCTATACATTGAAGAAACAAAACAACTACTTTATAAATGCATGGCACAACACAGGAAAACAAATTCATCAGTACAAGCTGCAGCAGTCTATCTGCATTTGAAAGGGCCACTCTTTTGAATACAGCAAAGTTTATATTCTAGACAGAAAGGACCACTGGTTTGAAAGAGGGATCAGAGACCAACTAGGTAAAATTAAAACAGCCCTTTCTCAACAGAGGGAGAGGGTGCAACACCAACTATCTCCTGTTTACAATTCAATCCTTTCAGCAGTCCCAAGAAAGTTACACCCATTTACACTGTGATTCAGGTGTCTCTGAGCATACAGATAAACCTCCAAACAGCTAACACTAATGACTAACCCTCAGAGGCTAACAACCTGATGACCACAAAGAATATAAATCCTTCCATTCCCCTCAAGTCAATTAGAACTGGATGAGAGATGAAACGTTTTCAAAGAAAAACCCAAGAAAGTCCAATTGCCTTTTGGAAAAAGCACCTTTTGGACAACAATGACCTAGATAATTGAGAATCTCCATAGACATGTGATTGAATCAATCATCAATTATCAAAGATGTACATATTGTATTTAGAATAGAAAAAGCAGAAGATAGCTGTATGTTTAAAAGACAGACATTTACTATCTCATTTACTTGAAACAATGGATATTTCCGTACATTTTGCCTTGTTATAGGAAAGTGATACAGAAAGTGAGCCGTATGATGATGAGGAGTTTGAAGGTTATGAAGAAAAACCTGATGCATCTCTCGGCAAAAATAAGGATCCTATTACAATTGTTGATGTAAGTGAAGATTATGAAAAGTTATACATAATTTCTAATTAATGTCTCGTATTAGGTTTTCTCCTGAACTATTATAATTAAGGTTGCAATCCTAAGTGTCTTGGATTAATCTCTACTTTGAATGAAATGTGGATAGACTCACACTCTCCCTCTCCCTCTCCCTCCCTCCCTCCCTCTCTCTCTCTCTCTCTCTCTCTCTCTCTCTCTCTCTCTGCATGTGTGTGTATGTGTATGTGCATGTGTGCACACACACATAAACACACCTGCTTACCTCTTTCTTCCCCCCTGCACGTGTGTGTGCACGTAGTTCTGCTAATTTATGTTTTTGTTCTGCCCAAACTCTTCAAACTTTTCCTGGTAGATGTTAATTGGTTGATAAATAGAGATAACAGATGGAAGTGGATTTATTCCACAGGTAACTATAAACCCTGGTAAATACTGGCATTCATAGTGTCACTTTGTATTTGGGGATTATAGCTAAATAGCAAAGTCTAGATGCTTAAAGTCTTGCTGAATTATAATAAATCATAGATATGATCTGAATGACATAGTGAAATCAGATAAATTTAAAGAAAATAATTCTGAACTGCAGAAAAGTATTTCAGCAATAAAGGGTCCTTGATGCTCTCTGAGCTTGGTTGTTTTCTTGCAGACATTTCATTACCCAAACAAGGTAATATCAGGGCTATTGGGTAATTTGGGTAATAAAATATCTGCAAGAAAACAACCAAGTTCAGAGAGTACCAAGGACTCTTCATTTCAACCCTGAGCTATAAATATTCTTGTTTATTGGTATTTCAGCAGTATTCAGAGGATTAAAATATGTTTATGAGAAGAATGGATTATGTTGATTTAGTATTTTCTCTGTGCCTGGAGTTAGAATTGCTGATTGCTAAATTAATAAAACCTTAATGCTGATTATAATGAAGAGCCAAGATTTTGACTGGAAATGGTTTTTTCCTTAAATGAAATAGCTTTTAACAATGTTCAAATTCATCAGGTTCCTGCACATCTTCAAAATAGCTGGGAGAGTTACTACATGGAAATTTTAATGGTGACAGGACTCCTTGCTTATATCATGAACTATATCATTGGAAAGAATAAGAACAATCGTCTGGCCCAGACCTGGTTCAGTAGTCATCGAGAGCTACTTGAAAGTAACTTTGCACTAGTTGGTGAGTTGGTTTATGATTTATCTTTACCTTCTCCCTTTTTCCCATGAAAACAAAATTGCAGACAAAGTCCAGGAATTCTTAGAGTTAGTGCAGTTCAAGGTATTATATGTGATAATTTAATTTTTTCAGGAAGAGGGCTTAGAAAACAAGAAACATTAATTGGTGTGTAGAATTAATCAGGTTTTAAATCTCCCTCAGAGCCTTTCTGTTGCTTGAAGTATCAAATGTATGGAATCACCATGATTTAGCATGAAATAACTTGTTTGAGAAGATAGTGAGGGGAAGAACTGAGACATTGAACAATGAATAGCGGATGATAAATTGAAATGGCATTGCTTAAAGTTTATGGACTGAAGGTTATAGAAGGAATAAGAGACAGCAGAGAGAGAATCAGTTATTATAGAGGAGAGTAGCAGTGAAAATCATTAGATCACAAAGGAGTGAAAAACACAGTGTGCAGTATTTTATGGGAGCTATCACAGCGTTGTATAAATGGTGAATTGGGATCAGTCAAAAGCAGATTAATTGAGAGAGAAGTTGTGGTAAAAGCAAATTCCTACCTAGGTGATGCAAGTCATTTAAAGCTTTCAAGGTTTTTGCTGGCACTTAGAAGAGGCTGAAAGACAACAATAAATCAGCAATACTGGTATAATGTATTACAGTAACTTGTTCTCACTGGGAATGTCATCAATAGCAGCTCAGTATAAATAATAAATGCCCATTAATTGGTATATCCTTTCTTTCAAGGTGATGATGGTACAAACAAAGAAGCCACAAGTACAGGCAAACTGAACCAAGAGAATGAACATATCTATAATTTGTGGTGTTCCGGTAGAGTGTGTTGTGAAGGCATGCTTATCCAACTCAAGGTAGTGGATTAGTTTGCAGTAAACCAACAAAGTTCCTTGAATGCCAGTTGTTTGGAAATAGCAGCAATATTACTTTTCCCTGTAAAAAAGAAAAGAATGTTAAAATGTTAAAAAAATTTAAAATCTTGGATCCAGAAGTTATTCTGACATTGGAAAAAAATCATAGAGGACAGACGTCAGGATTTTGAAAATGAAGGTTTTACCTTCCACGATCTGTGTTGAGAATCTCAAGATTGTAGACACATAAAATGAGCTGGCAGATACAGCATTAGTCTTGAAAGTTCAGCAGCATATACATTTAATAATTAAATACCCTGTAAAGAACTTCAATAATCAAGTCTGAACTGTATGTTTGAAAGAGAGGAAGCTAGTTCAGTTAACAAAGAACTAGTCATAGCTAACAACAGTATTCTGAATTTGCAGGATCTGAACTGTGTTTAGAGTACTCCTACATTTGCTGTATCACTAAAGCCCATTCTGTTGATTGGGCAGATGTGCTAGGTGCAGATTCTGGTATAACAAACCGAAGAATTAACTGCTTAGCACATGTCTTTTACTCCACTCCTTTTATTATGAAGAACATGGAAGCGAGTAAATGAAACTTATATCCCCTAAAATGGGTCATTGCTTCCTCCAGTGACTTAGCAAGATAGGAGTTCCTCATTTTTCATTTTCCCATGAAAAAGCAGCATGATTGCCAGAGTCCTAAGACAAAGTCTTGTACTCTAGTTTTGTTTACTTAAAGCTTCTCCTAGGTATGGCGGTTATGGAGAGGCCCAGTATATAGTCTGGAAGTACATCTTGACTTGCCTGAGCATGTTTGGACTGAAGAAGTTGATCTGGGTCCTTAATGTGTGTCAGCTGCCTTGTACTGTGAGGGGGGGGAGGGAAGCAGCATCAAAATATATTAAAATAAGCAATTAAAATAAACCTCAGGATGTATCTTTTGCACAGATTGATATGTTTACTGTAGGAAGCTTGTAATGTTCATTGAATTAGGGGTCTCAATGGAGAGATGAGAAGTTCTCACACTTTTGCACTTTTCACTTTTCAGTTTCTTAAGAGACAAGACTTGCTGAATGTTCTTGCACGCATGATGAGGCCAGCCTGTGATCAAGTGGTATGTGTTAATTTTATAATCAAAAATAGCTTGAGTGAATTATATTCATAACACTGTTTGATTAGCTTATTAAAACTATAGCTCAATATGTGTGATGCTTTTACTCTCACAGTGGGAATCACTGCTTTCTGTTTTTTTCCTTATAAAAGTTCACAAATTATAGCCCATATGGCTGCAAAACTAAGTTTTTAATTTTTTGACATTTTCATTTAAATCCCAGAAGCAGCATGTGTCTTAGTAGAAATTCAGAGTCAAAGCATGTGGGTTTTATCACCATGTCAGTCGGCACCAAAATAAGTGTATTATATGCACATTTTATAATCAGAGTGGAGATTATTAATTTTTTATCTGGGAAATGACCAATATAGGTAGTCGTCGACTTACAACCGTTCATTTATTGATTGTTCGAAGTTACAAAGGCATTGAAAAAAGTGACTTATGACCATTTTTCACACTTATGACCATTACAGCATCCCCATGGTCATGTGATTTACATTTGGATGCTTGACAACTGGTTCATATAATTATGACAGTCGCAGTGTCCCTTAGTCGTGTGATCACCTTTTGTGACCTTCTGACAAGCAAAGTCAGTGGGAAAGCCAGATTCACTTAACAACGCTGTTATTAATTTAACAACTGCAGTGATTCACTTAACAAATGTGGCAAGAAAAGTTGTACAATGGGCTCATTTAACAAATTTTTTACTTAGCAACATAAATTTTGGGCTCAAATGTGGTCATAAGTTGAGGACTACCTGTATTATTCTGATAATATGCTGCAAATAAGAGTAGGTAGCAGTACAGATCCCTAATAATAGTACAGGTAGTCCTTGTTTAACATCCACTTGTTCAGCTATTGACAGAACTGAATAAAGGATATTTATGACAGGTCCTATCTGCAGCCATTGCAATGTCCCTAAAGCCATGTGATTGTGATTTAGGCACATAGCAACTGGCTTGAGCTTATGACATCACAGCATCTTCCAGTCACTTCTCTACTAGCTTCACTACTAGTTTCAAACAAGCAGATTCAATGGGGAAACCAGCAGGAGGTCCCAAATGGCAACCACTTGATCATGGGATATTGAACATGCAGGCTTTGCCTAATGACAGCATTCAGGATTGTTTGTTGTATAAATTGGTCCAGTCAGGTGATATCAGCTTTATTACTTTGATGCTTAGCTCTGGGATTCCTGTTCCAATTACTGTTGGTAAATGATCACCACCAGTATTCTGTAATATTATATAAAATAAATAAAAATGTAACTTCCAGATGAGAAATTGTCCACCTGTATTTCCTACTTTGTCTTTTTAAGGAGTTCTGCAGTTATTCTTTTACTGAGAAAATTCTATACTGTATTTTAGAACTTCTCAGAATAATTTTGAGACTCTCCTTAAGCATGACCTGATCTTGGCTAAATGGACATTTGCTATCCAAGGCGTTTTATACTTTTGCCATATGATCGGACTATTCTTCTACTAGTGGACCTTCTGTGCAAAATAATGTATGTGTTCCTATTATTACATTATTGTTATCCAGCAAATAAAAGTTACTATGAATGATGATGATATGGATACCTACGTTTTCGCTGTTGGGACAAGAAAAGCCTTGGTACGGCTTCAGAAGGAAATGCAGGACCTGGTATGTACTGGAGCTGTGGGAAGGACTTTTAAAAATTTGGTAATTAGAGAAGGAAGAGGGAATTTTAAAACACATAATGAAGTCTTATAAATGGTCCAGGACTGTCTTAACTACATGTTGTCTTAATACATTGCCTTAATTAATTAATTGGATAGTTTGTAACAAGTCTAATTGGCAATGTCAATCTAATTAATTAATTTTATAGCTAAATTGGGCAGGGAACCATTGTGTAGCTTGGGATGACGCTTAAATAAATGATTACATCTTCTGGGGACATAAAGCCCATGATGGAAGGGCTTTTTATGTTTTGTTTATATGTATCTTCAGTTTATATGTATCTTTTTTCTTTTAGTAAACATATGAATTAAAAACCTCTATTGTAATCCTTTTTTATATGTGAAAAATTATGTGGGAATATGAGATCTTTTATTCCAGATTTAGAACATCTCACAAGTCCCTAAAGGCAGCAAATTCTTCTTGTGCAATCAGAAGCTATTGTTCTTTCAGTTGAGCAGGGTCTTGTTCTCACTGTTAAGTTCTTAAATCAATTTCAAAGTTTGGATTAGGTTGATCGGACATTTAACTGTGCAAGAAATAGCAGATTTACCTTATAACATGGCGATTCCTTTTTGGCAGAGTGAGTTCTGCAGTGATAAACCCAAAACTGGGGCAAAGTATGGGCTCCCAGAAGCACTGGCCATCTTATCGGAAATGGGTGAGGTCACAGAAGGAATGATGGATACGAAGGTAATGTAAAATAAACAGCTAAAACATTCAAGTTGCAATAATGCTCAGTTCTCATGAGAGCATCCAGGATACAAGTCTGCATATTGCTATGCATTGGAACATCCTTATTTGTTTTGTTTACTTGTTTTAAAATGAAGTACTTTCTATCTTGAGCTATTCTGAAAAACTGAGAATTCAGGTTTGGAAATAAGCATATGCCTAAAATTGGTAAGTGAGTGTTCTATACTGTATATTGTCATGGTATAACTGGTTAAGTCTGAAACAAAGGTTACCCCAAATCATGTCCTCCTATGAAGGTACTGAATAATTCTGGGCAAATGTATACTTAGTCCACTTCTCTCACAGATTAGTTATAAAAAATGATTGTACACAGCATTTTCACAGAAACAAAATCTGATTAGTTCAACTTATCCTTTTGGTGGAAGCAAATCAAACATTCCTAGAGAATATCCCTAGCATGATGTCGACCTGATTGTTGATGCTTTGTTTTTGTTTCATTTTTTTACTGTTAATGAGTCGTGCCTTGTCATATCTAATCCGTAGAAGAAATACATGACATTCTTGTTTTGTTACTAGGCTCATGGAATTCATTGCTAGTTAAAGTCAAAATATTTACAGTGAGGGGGGAAAATATTTGATCCCCTGATTTTATACGTTTGTTCACTGACAAGAAATGATCGGTCTATAATTGTAATGGTAGGTTTATTTTAACAGTGAGAGACAGAATAACAACAACAAAAATTCCAGAAATCAAGAAAGTTATGTTGATTTTCATTTTAATGAATGAAATAAGTATTTGATCCCTATCAATCAGTAAGACTTTTGGCTCCCAGGTGTCTTTTATACAGGTAACGAGCTGAGATTAGGAGCACTCTCTTAAAGGCAGTGCGCCTAATCTCAGATTGTTACTTGTATAAAAGACACCTGGGAGCCAGAAGCAATCAGTCAGATTCCAAACTCTCCACCATGGCTGAGACCAAAGATCTGTCCAAGGATGTCAGGGACAAGATTGTAGACCTATCAAAGGCTGGAATGGGCTACAAGACTATCGCCAAGCAGCTTGGTGAGAAGGTGACAACAGTTGGTGCGATTTGTTCTGACCCAGCCTTTGCAAGTCCTACACAATGGCTTACTCATGAGGAAAAAAATCCTTTTTATTTTAATGGCGTTTATGGAGTAAACTTCAGATAACCAGTCCTTAGATGTTGAAACAAATAGTAGCAGTCTCTGAGATAAGTACAAAGTCTCTGAGTTCCCAGCAGGAAGGCTCAATTAGCAATTCAACCCAAACACAAAGAAAGCTGACAAACCTGGCAAAGAATTGGCAAAGAATCCTTGCAAAAGAAATCCGACAGAGAAACAAGATACTGGAGCATGAACGGTTGCCTGTGGCAACCGGCGCCTCCCACACCTCTCCTCTTTATAGTCCAGGCAGGGCATGGCTTCTTAAGAGTCTCTTACTTTTCCTGGAGAGTCCACTGTCTTCCGTTGTCCTGACGCCTCTTCTCTCTGCACATATGCACATCTGGGACAGGCCCCAGCTGTTCCTCCTCTTTGCTTATTTCAGGCCCCCAACACAGGTGTCTCTCTGCCTGAGCATGAGTAGATTGGCCTGGCTCTGCATCTGGCTCTGAGTCTTCTTGCTCCTCAGAGCCTTCCACAGACTCCGATGTGAACCCAGGCACCCCTTCCCTCTTATCCAATTCATCTGACTCGGCTGCTGGATTCGCTGGCAGTTGAGGAACCACAATACTATCCCTCACTGCACGGCCCTTCCCCCGGGTCCGACAGGCAGGATGTGAACTGCTCGTGGAACTGCACCAGAGCAGGAGCATGCACAGTGACCACATCCTTCCAGGTGAACTCCTCTGGTCCATAGTCGTTTCACTCCATCAAGTACTGGAACTGGTCTTTCAGCCAATGGGAAACTTGGATGCTGGCGACCTTGTAGTCGGGAGCACTGTCTCTGTCATGCTGTTCTGGTGGGGGGGTATTCTGGTCGGCAGAGCAGACAGACTGGTTGTTCTGGAACCAAGAAGGACCGGTGAAAGACCGGATGTACTCTTAGCGAGTGTGGCAATGTCAGGTGATAGACGACCAGGTTAACGACAGCTTCAATGGGGAAAGGGCCTAGGTACCGATGATCCAATTTCTTGGCAGGCCAGTCTGACGGAAGGTGCCTGGTTGACAGCCATACCTGATCTCCCACAGCTAACGCAGGCGTATCATGCCAAGACCGATCAGCGACTTTCTTATAATCCACCTTGGCTTTATCCAGTCACACCAATTGATGGTCAGCCTATAACTCTGCAAGATACTCGTTAGCTGTGGGAACGGGCAAGTCAAGTTGCGTGAGGGGAAAAAGCCGAGGATGATACCCAACATTGGCCAGGAAAGGTGTCATCTGCGTGAAGGTGTGCTGCGAGTTGTTGAAAGCAAATTCGACTACTGAAGATAATCTACCCAATTGTCCTGTTGCTGATTCACAAAGCAGTGCAAATATTCTTCCAGGATTCCAATCACTTTCTTAGTTCCGCTATCTGTTTCTGGATGATGCACCAATGACAGACATATTTGTACATCTAAGGCCTTCCGCAGCCATTTCCAGAATAGGCCATAAATTGAGTCCCCCTATCCGAAATGACCCTATCAGGTAGGCTGGGCAGATGGAAGACATGCTGAATGAACGTGCAAGTTATGGTGGGGCTGTTGGCAAACCACGGCAAGGGATGAAATGCACCATCTTAGTCAGCATTCCACTACCACAAACACTGTTGTGAACCCAGAAGACGGGGGCAAGTCTGTCAAGAAGTCCATGGTCACTGCTCTCCAGGGTCTCTCGGCTGACGACAAGGGCTGGAGCAGACCTGGTGGGGCTCCCTTTGCTGATTTGGCCTGCCGGCACTGTACATAAGATGTGACGTAGGCGTGGATGTTGTGTTGTAATCAGGGCCACCAGAATGTATAGGAGACCAGGTTCAGAGTCTTGAACAGGCCAAAAAGCCCCGCCGCAGGATTGTCATGGCATTGTGAGAAGATGAGTCCCCAGAGCCACCCCCTCGGAATATAGAGCTGGTCGTGAGTGCCTCAGTGAAGGTCCATGGGGAGTCTGGCCCCAACTCCTCCCGTCGTTGATCCACCCATGTATCGTGCTGTTGTGCTTCCCATATCTGAGCCTGTAAATCCACTGGTTCCTGAACTGCAGAGAAGAACTCTAGGGGCAGAAGCTTGTGAGAGTATTCTGTTTTCCTCAAGAGAGCATCTGCTCTTTGGTTGCAACCACTTGGGATATATGTGATGCAGAAATTGAACCTGGTGAAAAATAGAGACACTGAATCTGCCATTGGTTCAATTTCTGGCCAGTCTGCAAGCATTCGAGATTGTTGTGGCCTGTCTGGACTTTGATTTGATGCCAGGCCCCTTCCAAATGATGTATCCAGGCCTCAGACACCACCTTAATGGCCAGTAGCTCCTTCTCCCAGATAGTGTATTGCCTCGGCTAGATTAAGTTTCCTCAAGTAATATGTGCAAGGGAAGAGGGTACCGCCGGGCGTGTGAGCCTGGAGTAACCCCATTCCGATGGCAATGTCGGAAGCATCTGTTTCCACGACAAATGGATGGTGTGGATCAGGGTGTTCAGGATGGATTCCTGCATAAAGGCTTGCTTCAAGGCCTGGAAAGCTTGTTGGTCCAGAGTGCTCCAGTGAAACGGGGTCTTTCACTGAAGGAGCCAAGTGAGGGGCACGGTCAGGGAGGCAAATACAGGGATGAATGTCCTATAGTAGTTGGCAAACCCAAGGAGTCACTGGATATACTTAACATGGGGGTTGCCAACTATACAGGGACTTGATCTTGCTTGGCTCCATGGCAATGCCCTCAGGAGAAATGTGATGTCCCAGGAAGTTGATGATCGATTGATAAAATTGGCATTTCTCCAGTTTGGAATACAATCGATATTCCCAGAGCCATTGCAAGATCATACGGAGGTGCTGATGATGACACTCCCGCGAAAGGGAGTAGATCAGGATGTCATTCAGATAGATCACAACAAACTGAACCAACAGGTACCGGAATATATCATTCATGAAATACTGGAAGACAGCGGGGGCATTGATCAGCCCAAATGGCATGACTGTATACTCGAAGTGGCCGTTCCAAGTGCTGATTCCTGTCTTCCATTCATCACCGGGCCAGATCCTAACTAGATTGTAGGCTCCTCTCAGGTCCAGTTTGGTAAAGACTTTGGCCTCCTGGAGCCGTTCCAGAAGTTTGGGAATGAGGGGCAGAGGGTAACGGTTATGCACAGTAATGGCATTTAATTTGCGATAATCGCAACAGAGTCTCAATTCCCCAAACTTCTTTTTCATGAACAAAACTGGCAATGACAATGGCAAAGACGAGGGCTGGATAAAGCCTTGAGTCAGATTTTTGTGCAGGAAGTCACGCAATGCTGCTAACTCAGGGTCAGACATGGAGTACAAACGCCCCATTGGGAGTGGCGCATCAAGGATCAAGTCTATGGAGCAGTCATATGGCTTGTGTGTGGGCAATTGATCCACCTCTTTCTCACTAAAGACATCTACAAAGTCCGTCAATTCAACTGGCAGGGAAACCCCTGGGGGACTCAGAACCTGGTCTGCACAGACTTGGCAGGTGTGATCAGTTTACATTGTAAACTCAGGAAGGTGACCAAGTTCTGGGACCAGTAAATCTGAGGGTTATGTGTCTGGAGCCACGCCAAGCCTAAGACCACTGGAAAAGGCAGGTCAAATTGAATGGCCTCCTCATGAGAGCCGATGGCCATACTCAACAGTTGCACGGCAGCCTTAATTGACCCAGACAGAAGCAACTGGCCATCAATGGTCTCCACTAACAGAGGTAGGTCCACCGGGCATTGAGGAACAGCCCATTTGGTCACAAACACAGCATCCATAAAGTGGTTGCTCCGGAATTGATCAAGGAATGTACCAGGATCCCCTATGGCTTACCGGATAGGATCA